CTCAAACGGCTGTCAGAAGAAAGTTGTACCCGATGCACTTAAGGGGCCGAACATAAAGCACCAGGCAGATGTTGAAGGAGGCCGGAGCAATGCAGCCTATGCCATATCCCAGCCGTTGATCTTGAATTTGGGTAAAAATTAGGCGACCGGGTGGCTAAAAGGGCAAGAGCGTTGAGCCGGCGCTGCTGAGATCCTGGGTTCAGATCCAGCCACCTGTGATTCAACGAGGTTCTCGAGTGGAGTGAGCGGACGGTCTCTGTCTGGTCACCAAAAGCCGCACACAAAACCCTCGGTGACAAGGTGGAACTTGTTTCATGTTTGTGTGAGGTGCAACATGAAGTCGTAAATGATGATGATGATGATGATTAAAGTTGTTTAGAAGCCGGACATTGTTATGGATCAGGAAGCAGCCAGAGAGCGAAGGAGCAAACGGGAGACGGTTGTGGGATAACACTCCAGGAGACGTCTCAAAGCAAGACAGCCCTTCACCAATGCTGCAATACCTTGAAAGATTACATTGGGTTTGTTAACAATTAAACCCTTCCACTATGTGAGATGAATACAACATTGAGTGCCTCGGGGAATGTCTGTGTTTATTTGCTGCTACATAATTGCATGTTTTTAAAATTATTCTTGGCACAACGCTGCTTTGACAATCCTCATGGGGATTTATAGATCTAAATGGGCTTTTAACTAAGGCTCTGTAAAACTAAACGATGACGTTGATGACGTGGTCACCTGCTGGACGAGGTCATGGAGCCGCGCCCGTGTAGAGTTCAGGTTCTCCAGGTCATCAAAAGTGGCCAGCGTCACCTCGTCCAGTGCCTCCCGCACCTCCTTCACCTCCTTATTCATGTCCTTCATCTTCCCTGGGTAAAACAAACAAAACTCCCTTGGATGACCTGGTCAGTGGAGACACATTTGCAGTGATGTACATGTGGTCGCATGGTACGGTGTCCTCAAAATACTGGGCTAATTCAGCGAGACTCAGTATATCCGTTTCCTTCACAAAACCCTGCTGCTTCCACAACGACCAAATTCAAGCGAAATTAGCCCATAATTATCCAACACTCGCAAATTCAATCCCGTTAGCAACTGAGCAGCACGTCGTCGCCTTGTTATCACTCATCTATCCCTACCGCCATGGTTATTGTTCCCGTGAACTTTACCTGATGATTCCTCCACAAATGTTGAGCATGCCGAACGACCAGGCTGCTTTGTCTCATACATTGTGTTCAACCACCACACAGCAGGTCAAAACACATTCCTGCGGAGGGAGCTGGTAGGAGCGTTGGGTTGCTCGTCAATGGCCAGGGTCAACAGCGGCGTGGTGTATTCCGCAAATATGGCCGACTGTGAGGGCGGGCACAAGCCGGCGTGAGTAGGTTAAACGTTGAGTTTTATAAGGGCACCACGGGGTGACCAGTCCCTCCCCACTCCTCAACTTTACAATCCTCCCCCACCACCCCACCCCCGGCTCTTATAACCTTGGTTGTTTCAAGGAACGAGTTAACACTCATCAGTTACAACTTTGATCGTGCTGTTTGTTGCTGACTGCTTGACCCATTTGGGAATGAATATCCCGTGCGAATAGATTGAGTGGATCCCATGTGTGATGAGTTTAAGTCGCTTGTGAAGGAATTACATAGATCCCATGGCAATGAGTACATCAATAATACGGTTAACGAACGAGCTTTATCCCATGTGAATCACTATGTCAACGATACTTAATGCAGTTAATGAACTAGACACCATGTGAAAGAATGAGCACATCGTGGAGAATGATTGCAGTAAATACTTTACGTAGAGCCCATATGAATGAGTGAACTATATCCTATATGAACGAGTGAGTCAATCAGTGAGAGTGAATGCAGTAAATGCGTTAACTGGATCCCATGTAAATTAACTATACAGTACATTAATGATAATGGATACAGTATATGAATGACACAGGTCCCACGTGAATGACACGAGTGAGAGTGAATGGGGTAAACGAATCAGCTAGGTCCAATGTAATGGGAATGAGTTAGCGTGAATGAGTGAGTGGGAATGAGTGAACCTGAATGAGTTGGGTCACCTGTGAATGAGTGATGGTGAATGAGTGATGGTGAATGAGTGATGGTGAATGAGTGATGGTGAATGAGTGATGGTGAATGAGTTGGCTCACCTGTGAATGAGTCACCTGTGAATTAGTGATGGTGAATGAGTCACCTGTGAATGAGTGATGGTGAATGAGTTGGATCACCTGTGAATGAGCTGGATCACCTGTGAATGAGTGATGGTGAATGAGTGATGGTGAATGAGCTGGATCACCTGTGAATGAGTGATGGTGAATGAGTGATGGTGAATGAGTCACCTGTGAATGAGTGATGGTGAATGAGTGATGGTGAATGAGTTGATCACCTGTGAATGAGTGATGGTGACTGAGTGATGGTGAATGAGTGATGGTGAATGAATCACCTGTGAATGAGTGATGATGAATGAGTGATGGTGAATGAGTGAGTGATGGTGAATGAGTGAGTGATGGTGAATGAGTGAGTGATGGTGAATGAGCTGGGTCACCTGTGAATGAGTGATGGTGAATGAGTGATGGTGAATGAATCACCTGTGAATGAGTGATGATGAATGAGTGATGGTGAATGAGTGAGTGATGGTGAATGAGCTGGGTCACCTGTGAATGAGTTGGCTCACCTGTGAATGAGTGATGGTGAATGAGTGACGGTGAATGAATTACCTGTGAATGAGTGATGATGAATGAGTGATGGTGAATGAATGAGTGATGGTGAATGAGTGAGTGATGGTGAATGAGTGAGTGATGGTGAATGAGCTGGGTCACCTGTGAATGAGTTGGCTCACCTGTGAATGAGTGAGTGATGGTGAATGAGCTGGGTCACCTGTGAATGAGTGAGTGATGGTGAATGAGTGAGTGATGGTGAATGAGCTGGGTCACCTGTGAATGAGTTGGCTCACCTGTGAATGAGTGATGGTGAATGAGTGACGGTGAATGAATTACCTGTGAATGAGTGATGATGATTGAGTGATGGTGAATGAGTGAGTGATGGTGAATGAGTGAGTGATGGTGAATGAGCTGGGTCACCTGTGAATGAGTTGGCTCACCTGTGAATGAGTGAGTGATGGTGAATGAGCTGGGTCACCTGTGAATGAGTGAGTGATGGTGAATGAGTGAGTGATGGTGAATGAGCTGGGTCACCTGTGAATGAGTTGGCTCACCTGTGAATGAGTGATGGTGAATGAGTGACGGTGAATGAATTACCTGTGAATGAGTGATGATGAATGCGTGATGGTGAATGAGTGAGTGATGGTGAATGAGTGAGTGATGGTGAATGAGCTGGGTCACCTGTGAATGAGTTGGCTCACCTGTGAATGAGTGATGGTGAATGAGTGACGGTGAATGAATTACCTGTGAATGAGTGATGATGAATGCGTGATGGTGAATGAGTGAGTGATGGTGAATGAGTGAGTGATGGTGAATGAGCTGGGTCACCTGTGAATGAGTTGGCTCACCTGTGAATGAGTGAGTGATGGTGAATGAGCTGGGTCACCTGTGAATGAGTGAGTGATGGTGAATGAGTGAGTGATGGTGAATGAGCTGGGTCACCTGTGAATGAGTTGGCTCACCTGTGAATGAGTGATGGTGAATGAGTGACGGTGAATGAATTACCTGTGAATGAGTGATGATGATTGAGTGATGGTGAATGAGTGAGTGATGGTGAATGAGTGAGTGATGGTGAATGAGCTGGGTCACCTGTGAATGAGTTGGCTCACCTGTGAATGAGTGATGGTGAATGAGTGACGGTGAATGAATTACCTGTGAATGAGTGATGATGATTGAGTGATGGTGAATGAGTGAGTGATGGTGAATGAGTGAGTGATGGTGAATGAGCTGGGTCACCTGTGAATGAGTTGGCTCACCTGTGAATGAGTGAGTGATGGTGAATGAGCTGGGTCACCTGTGAATGAGTGAGTGATGGTGAATGAGTGAGTGATGGTGAATGAGCTGGGTCACCTGTGAATGAGTTGGCTCACCTGTGAATGAGTGATGGTGAATGAGTGACGGTGAATGAATTACCTGTGAATGAGTGATGATGAATGCGTGATGGTGAATGAGTGAGTGATGGTGAATGAGTGAGTGATGGTGAATGAGCTGGGTCACCTGTGAATGAGTTGGCTCACCTGTGAATGAGTGATGGTGAATGAGTGACGGTGAATGAATTACCTGTGAATGAGTGATGATGAATGCGTGATGGTGAATGAGTGAGTGATGGTGAATGAGTGAGTGATGGTGAATGAGCTGGGTCACCTGTGAATGAGTTGGCTCACCTGTGAATGAGTGAGTGATGGTGAATGAGCTGGGTCACCTGTGAATGAGTGAGTGATGGTGAATGAGTGAGTGATGGTGAATGAGCTGGGTCACCTGTGAATGAGTTGGCTCACAGCTGATGCCGGAACAGAGGAACCGACGCAGCTCCTCCCCGGGGTCCTTCCCGGGGTCCTTCCTCACCCACGCGTCGCGCGGGGCTGCCCTCGGCGCACTGCCTGCACTAATTACCGATAACAAATATACAAAAAAAAACGATGCATAACAACGTAACAACGTTATACGCTTACATTTAATATTATTAACGCAGCAGTGACAACTCATAAGCACACACCGCGCGCGATGTGAGTTCTTATTTATTCAAAAAAAAAGTCAGGCACGACAATATTTTTTGTTAAAACTTAAGACACATTTTACTCTCGTCGCGTCTATCATCGACAGACACCGAATCGCGTCCGATCGTTGACCGATTAAATTAAAAAAAATTCAACATCTAAGCGGCAAAAGTCGGCCTAGCAACGCGGCCACCTCATCAGTGTGCGCGGCGTCGCTGGGTCAGAGGTCACGGCACCGGTGGTGGGGGGAGGGGGGTCAGAGGTCACGGCACCGGTGGAGGGGGGGGTCAGAGGTCAGTGGGACACGTGCAGCCACCACGGTCAGACGCGCTGTGTCACCCTGTCCTGCCCATCGTGTCACACACTTGCTGGGGGGTCGTCAGAGAGAAAAAGGAAGGGGCGGGCAGGAAAGCTGGGGAGGGGAGGGAGGTGAGAAGCCCCGAGCCGATCGGGCCGAAGCAACGAGTGGGTCACTGGGTCACCCCGCGGAGACGTGGACCTTCAGCACGAGTGTCGGATCATCGTCATTTGCAGCATCGGCGCCGTATATTGTCATCATTGTTAGCGGTAGCAGCACAAATAACAGTTACATCATCAGCAGCAGCAACAGCAGCAGTATCAGCAGTTCAGCCATCATCATCAGCAGCAGTATCAGCAGTTCAGCCATCATCTGGAGCAGTTCAGCCATCATCATCAGCAGCAGTATCAGCAGGCAAGATGCTGGGCAGGCGGCTCTGCTCGTCGTCTCTGGGGCTCGTTCGTCGCCCGGTCTCCCGGACCCGCCTCGCCCCGTGTCCACGGGGCCCGTGGCACGGAGGCCGCGGCGGGGCCGAGACAGCGGCGGCGTGCGGGAGGATGGGCGCGGAGAGCGGGCACAGGATGTTCGGGACGACCACCCGTTCTTGTGCCTTCGCCAGAGACTTGTTCATGGGGAAGATCAACAAGGTACGAAGCGGTTCGGGATTGCTTGGGGAACAGAGGAGGGTGGTGGGGTGGTGGGCTTCCCGGTCTAAGTGCGGCCCATGTGCACACGGGGAACGAGGGGAACCCTGAGACCGAGGCACGGAGACACAAGGACGTAGAGATGACACGGAGATTCATACTCTTAGGTTGTTTTCGGTAAAGCCACGTAGGTAATAAATAAATAAAAAATGCAAATAAATGAATTAAATCACGACGGTTGGGAGGCAACACAAGCTTCCTTCATCAGGTGTTTAAAGGCACAGCAAAATAACTGTAGTGGGAGTTATTTGTGATGGGGCATTAATATATAGGGTAAGAGGATAACACGGAGAGTTGTGCAGAGACGTGCAGGGAATCACGGAGGCAGGCGCAGATATCGGGGAACAGAGAGAGACACCTATACACTGGAGCGTGTTTATGAAGACAGAGATACACGCAGACACACAGAGTTTTGGAGACAGTCACATAGAGAGAGAAAGACAGACTCAAGGGAAATACAAAGACGTGCTTATACTGTATACAGAGTTATATATATATATATATAGAGAGGGTATTGGAAGAAAAGTCATATAGAGAGATGCACATGCAGAGACACTGACCCCAAACTACAGACAAATACAGAGAGATGTTAAAAGTGTTGGTCGTCGTGGTGATGTTGATGGCGATGTGATGATGTTGTTTGCAGGAGGTGTTTCCATTCCCAGAGATCAGCAACGAGGAGTTGGAAGAGCTGAACATGCTCGTGGGGCCCGTGGAGAGGTTCTTTGACGAGCAAGGTGCCAGTGACCCACAATCGCAGCTCTTGTCTGTGCCGCTTTAGCAACAAGAGGCTCCACGTGGCCTGGCTTTCTGACCATTCATCAATGGACTTTGTTAAACATCCCAGTGTAGCAGGATCCTGCTGTGAAAGTCTTGAGACTCTGCGAGACCCTCCTTTTATTTTTTTACAACACACTGAAAGGTTCCCGTAACGGAGTACAGAAGATCCGCAGCAGTCCATTCCGGTGCGACGGAATCGGAATAGGGCCCCACGCCGCTCCAGCCAAGTAGGGACCTCGCGTTCGGGGACAGATTTAAATGGAGAGGGAAAACGGGGGGGGTGTAAGGGTAGAAAACACATTTACTGCGTAGGGAGCTGGTAGGAACGTTGGGTTGCTCGGTCAATGGCCAGGGTCAACGGTGGCGTGATCTATTCCGTAAATATGGCCGACTGTGAGGGCGGGCACAAGCCGGCGTGAGTAGGTTAAACGTTGAGTTTTATAAGGGCACCACGGGGTGACCAGCCCCTCCCCACCCAGCCTCACCCCTCCCACCCCCCACCCAGCCCCACCTTCCCCACCCAGCCCCTCCCCACCCTCCCCTTTCCACCCAGCCCCACCCCTCCCATTTTTGGATGCACGACGGATGGACGGACACAATAATCCCCTGTGGGCTGGTGTAACCAGGAGGTTCCTACCAGTATAAGTAGCATACTTCGGGAAAGCCAGGGATTGGGGGGGGAGTGGAATAGGGGGGAACAAAGAAAAACCCTGCGAGGCCCTCCTTAATAACGGTCCCCAGTGTAGATTGTGACCTCCCAATCGGTGGGATACATGGTTGGCATGAGAATGGGACTCTTCGTTCATTGCCTGTCAGCTACATTACCCCAACACCAGCACACTCCATAGCCATGCCAATGCTCCAATTACTTAAACTGCCACTCTGAAGAAAGGCCATTGCCTAAAAAAATCAACCTGTTGTATATTTGTTGTGTTGTAGGGCAGTGCTATTGAATACCGTTTGAATGTGTGTTTGAATGCGTTGCTGTTGCCAGTGGACTCAAAGCGTATAGACGCAGAGGCGCGCATACCAGAGGAGACCCTGCGAGGACTCAAGGAGCTCGGCCTCTTTGGCCAACAGATCCCCACGGAGTTTGGTAAGAAATCAGCATCTGCTTTGATTACAATCATTAGCAAACTTTGTTTATACCAGGTCTGTGGAAATTATGAACTACTGGACAAATCCGACCTGCAACTTCATTTCATATGTCCCGTGGTGACATGAGGCCTACCACTTTAAAATGGCCTGTAAAAACGATGTCTGTCAATGCAAGCATCAATCTGGAATGTGATATTTTCAACTTGGTTAGAATTTTAATTTAAAATTTTAGTGTGCCAAGTCACATCTGTCACTGTGAGGGCCTCTTGCCGTGACACAACGGAGGTGTGTTTTCGTGTGTGGTTGCCCACCAAAGGTATTTGAGAGTCCTGTTCGGCCCTCGGTAACGATAGGGTTCCACACCGCTGGCTTACAAGTGTTTTTTGTGTCGTGCGGTTGCCAGGCGGCCTGGGCCTCTCGAACACCATGTACGCGCGGCTGGTAGAGATCACCTCACTCGACGGTTCCATCGCTGTCACACTCGCCGCACACCAGGCCATCGGCCTCAAGGTAACAGCGGCTCACCCGTTCACGAACGTCATGGAGCTGCATCCCGTCAACACAATGCACATGCAACAACCCTTATGTCAATTCGCTGGTCAACGAGGGTCCTCCCCCAAGCTGTGCTGGTCATGGGGGTAACGTGACGACAATTTGCCATGCTGGTCAGTGTGGGTTGGTGATGGTGGCGGGGGCCCAGGAACGGTTCACGATATCACTCGCCACTGATGTGAGCCACGGTTCAAGACTCAAAGTAAGGGTGCCGCGTTTGTAGCGCAGCGCGCTAGGCAGTGTGGTTGGCATTTGTTTCTCGTGAACTAATATGTCGGTGTCGCATCGCCCCATTTTGTGTTACACCAGGGAATTCTGCTTGTGGGCACCGATGAGCAGAAGGCGCAGTACCTGCCACGGCTCGCCACGGGAGAACACACGGCCGCTTTCTGCCTCACAGAGCCGGGCAGGTGAGGTCACACACAGGCAGTGCAGCTATTGAACTACGTTATTAAATGTGTTGTTTTGGCCGGAGGGTCACTGTTTCAAAACGGCTTTCCTGGTGTCCAAAAACCAGGATTCTTGTTTGAAAATGTTTCACTCGTGATGAGGGGACGACCTGGGTAATGCACATGGCACCCTGAATAGTGGGCGGGGATTATACGAGAAAGGAGGCCGCTCGCTGTGTGGGAAGAGCTCGCAAATGAGTTAGTGTGGTTTCATAATCAACGTGGTTTGTAAAAGTGGGCGGGGTTGAATGAGCGGGAGGTGCTTTCAGTTCACCATGTGTCCCTGTGGAGCTTTGTAGAGATTCAGTAGCTTTACATTAAATTTCGATTTAAAGCTTTCGTGACTGCAGGGATTAATCTTCTTGGTTCTTTCGGTAAAGTCATGTAGAAGGGAAATAATAAAATAATACAAATAAAACATAATAAAATAATTCTCACGACGTTTCGGCCACAACGCAAGCAGCCGTCCTCTACGTGACTTTAGCTTTACATTATTACTAAACCCTTGTCAAGCGCATTGCATCTCAGTGACCACTATCCTTCTTACCCAGAGTGGACCGATGAATATTCTCATCAGTGCAGTACTCATACGTGTGTGTTTCCATGCAAACGTCTGCGTTTACTTCTCTTCTGCCTATGACTCAATCTCATCTCTAGATGGTATATTACTTATGATGCTACCACCTACATGATTCACATGTCATGCTGTGCGTCTTCTTAAGATGCAGTTGCAATTAGATCCTCTTGAAAAACCAAAATCCTATTTCAATTGTATCACCTGTGCAGTGGGAGCGATGCAGCGTCGATCCAGACGAGAGCTACGCTGAGTGAAGACGGCAAACATTACCTCCTCAGTGGCTCCAAGGTACCCAACGCGAGCCTGTGAGCACGCAACGATCAAATCACCGGGAATGGGCCACATCTCGTCGGATCTCGGAAGCAGCCAAGCATCATTGAGCCTGCCATGGTGCTTGCGTGGGTCACCACCATGCACAAACAGGTCTCATAGGGCTGGGGGGGGGGGCAGCAGAGGCAGTGCAGAATCCACTGTTGTACTGTACCTCTATGCTCCGGTGCCTATGCTACCCACCATCACCAACCTGTACTTGCCAGCGTGGTAAAACAAAGTCAAATAACCCCCCTCGCCCTCCCAGGACATGCAGAGTGTTGGAAGGTACTCACTCAGCAGTGGTTTGACGAAAGGGACATGTCCATGTACAATGATTTATCTCCCCTCAAGTTGGTTGGCTGCACAAGTGATCGGCGATGAATTGAACATCTTGGTTCTTTCGGTAAAGTCACGTAGAAGGGAAATAATAAAAATAATGTTTTTTATTATTATTTTATTATTTCCCTTCTACGTGACTTTACCGAAAGAACCAAGAAGATGAATCCCTGCAGTCACGACAGCTTTAAATCGAATTGAACATCATCACCGAGCAGGGAGCTGGTGCTCAACCACCAGCAAAGAATAGCTCACCGATGAGTAGAGCTGCCACTATCGTGTGAGCACGGAAGCGCTGCAGATTAAACAAACTTTCCGTCAGCGCAGAGCGGAATATGTACGAATAAATACTCTGCTATCTTTGCCACAAGACGCATCCAAGAGCGCAGCTGAGAAAGCGATAAGAAACATCGTGGGAGCTGGCACACGAAGCCCGTTGATAACCACAAAAGGATCTGATATGCTGCCATTTTACACCACTTGGGCCATATTTCCATTATAGAATGATTGAATGACATTAAACTTGACATTCAACACTGAGCAGAAGCAATCAGAGGCAAAGTTTTTGTTGGGTCGGCACACACTCTCGCTATTTTTCCCGAAGCTGACACGCCGCATAGATCATGTTTATAGCCACGTCCAGACTGAAGGCCACATTGGGACCGTTTGTTTTTGTTTACACGGGACGGGTGTCCAATCGGTTTGGTTTTACCCATGCAAGGATTCTTCCGGCAACAACAGATGATTCGGAAATGCCACAGTGATTGTCACAGCTTGCCTCCTCGGCACCATTACGTTCGTTGAGATGAACGATGTTGGCTTTTTTGTTTTGTTATATTGCGGTACGAGCACTTGCTCCAAACAATGTGCTAGAGCCATGCGATCTGTTTTGCCATGTAATAGCCGCTATGATGATGCAATTCCAGCAGAGATACATTAGCAGCGATTGGCCGTATGTGTAAGTCGGAGGGGTGCTTTGCACTTTAGGTACATCGGTATGTTCAGAAACGACATACCAATGTCCCTGAAAGCGGGAAGTTTTTAATCGGTGCTTAGAAAACATGAACACAAACAAATAAAATGGAACAATAGTGAAAATTATACAATAGAGCATGGAGATATTTATGCTGAGAACCAAAATAAATTGACATATTCACTGAAATTTATGTACGTTGAACTTCTTTCGCACCGTACGTAGCTAACCGTGTTAAACGGAGGTGCAGGGGCAGGACAACATTCAACACAAAAAGCATTTCTAAAGACATGAGTTTTCAATTTAGATTTAAAAGTGCATAAAAGGAAGCAGGTTGGTCAGGACGCATTGCAAGAAGCGATTATGGCCGGTGGTTGAGCCTGTTTATGGAATCGCAGGCGAGAGAGGAGACGCAGAGATGCAGTAATGAGATCGGCTAATGTGTTGGAGCGAAACAAATTGCGGCATCACAAAACCACGAAGGATGGCGACGACATGCAGAGACCATCTAGCAGTGAACAGATCGTGGCTTTCATGCAGGTATAAAGTTGAAGGACTCCGTGTCATTGAAGGCATGGAATGCAATACTTTAAATAGATGCTGCCTCGCCGCCCACCAAATATAGAAGTGGGCTGATGTCCACCAGTGACTGGGCCAAGTACATCAAATGTTGAACCTTTAACTTCTTTCGCACCGTACGTAGCCAACCGTGTTATTCGGAGGTGATAATTTATCCAGATAAACCTTACTGAACTCAAGACCACACGGATAGATTCACGAACCCACTTGCTGTACTGAGATTTTTTGGCCAAGGGGAGTTTTACAATTTGGCATTATCCACCATGATCCACCAACTATTGCCTTCAAAGCAACCCCAACATCCTGCCTCCCAAAGACAAGAAATCCCGTATAAATCACAAAATCGGCACGACACGGCACGATGGTGCCGACAATCTCACCAAGGCCCGACTAACACGTGTGAGAACGGAGGCAAGGCTTTTTTTCCAACGATTTCCGTGTTATCCAATTGGTCAAGAAGTCAAGGGTGATCGATTACTTAAGTAATCGGATAGCCCATCTCTAGCACTACAGGCCTTGGAGTGGTCTCCACTAGTCCAGCGACCAGGGGAATGCTGTGGAGCGGATGGTGCGAGACTTTGGGGGGGAGGTCTTGGAGGCCGCTTGTCAACCGCGCAGAGAAGGGTCGCCCGCGTTTGGTGAGGTGCGGTGGCGTGCGGCGGTGGCTTTTGGCCGTGACGACGTCTCAATTTTTGAGCCGTGGTGAGCGTTGGACTTGTGCCCGTCGGGACTTGTGGTGCCGGCGCAGATCTGGATCTCCAACGGCGGCACCGCGGACGTGCTCACGGTGTTCGCGCGCACGGAGGTGACGGACCCGGCGACGGGCGAGAAGAAGGACAAGATCACGGCCTTCCTCGTGGAGCGCGCCTTCGGGGGCATCACCAGCGGCAAGCCCGAGGACAAGCTGGGCATCCGCGGATCGAACAGTGCGTGCTGTATAATAGTATTCATCATTATATAAATCTTATACTTTTATCATGGGGGGGGGGGGGGGGGGTGGGGGGGCAGCGCTTTTGCTATTGCAGTACTGCTTATAATAGATTTGTACATGCACGGTTCCGTATGTACAAGTTGGCATGCAACAATTAACCACGCCTCCAGCGATTAGAGGAATTGTCACAATTCAGGGTTTTAATTTTATATATATATAAAAAGAATAGATAGTCACTCCACTCATTGTAACCGGGGCTTCATTTTCACCGGGACTGTTCCTTGTCGTCAGAAACCTGGACAATTTTCCGCACACCCGGCACACGTCATCCAGTATACCACTCGCTATGATTGTGTTGACTTAGTCATGTGCCTCCTCCAGTCTGCCAGCGACCTTGAGAATATTCCGTGAGAAATTAAACCCAGATTGTAACAGTTCCGTTGGAATCATTTACCAATTTTGCTGTTGTTTTGTTTGCAAGATTGTCAAACCTGCGTCCGACTTGCATGAATCGTACCTAATTCTCACACACACAACCTGTAGAATGCATCGTGCACGTAAAGAAATGATTCCACCAGACAAATCAAAAACGCTTTCTGAGATTTTGCACACGCTCACGGGTTGCGTGCCGGGCTCTCGGGTGCCTGTCTGCCGTGACCTTGGAACCGGCGCGCGTGTGACTCTCTTGTAGCATGCGAGGTCACGTTTGACGGAACGCCGGTGCCGGTGGAGAACGTCCTGGGGGAGGTTGGCGGAGGCTTCAAGGTCGGAATTTTTTTTAAGTTCACGTCGTAGCCGCGTTCTGGTTAAGGAAAGCCTGATGTGGTGTTTGCGAGCTGCAAAATAAAGGTTGGAGCGGTGGAGCAGCGGTTCACGCAGCAAGTCATGAACCCGGTGACCTGGGTTTGGGTTCGGTTCCTGGCCGCTGCTAACATCAGTGGCGAGTGATATCTGAACCGGTCCTGGATGTTCCCACCCTTTACCAACCTGCGATAATCAGCATGGTTGACTACGTACGGTGCAAAAGAAGCTGAACATAGTATGGTCAAAAACTGTCAACGACTAGCACTCTGGAGAGGCCATCAGCCAGCATTGGACTGACAAAGGGCCATACATTTATAATTTATGATTTTAATGTAAAGAACAATTTTCTTTGGAGAGTCGTGCATTGGGGTGGTCGGCCAATCCTGTTGATGAGTATTCTGGCTTGGTGGGAGGAAAGCGGAGCGCCTTGAGAAACCCTCCCCCCCCCGCCCCCCCAGCATTTGAAGGGAAAACACTCGAGAAATGCACACACGGTTTTTCTAGTGTTTGCTGGACTGCCATCTCCTGGTCACCTCGCAGTCCAGTGTGTTTGCGAGACTCAAAAGAGCTGGCTTACACTAGAGACGGTGCTAGAGAGCATCTCTGGAGGAGTATTTGACGTTCTCTTCCATGTTGGATGTTTTTGTAAAAATCCCCAGCAGATTTACTGTCCAAGCAAAATCAAGTATTTCAAAATAAATGCACCAACCGTTTTCTCCAAAGATGAGCGAATTTTTTTTTTCAAGGGAGATGTGCATGGCCATCGTAGGATTGGGTTAGCTGTGATTTTGTCAGTTGCTGGTAATTATAAAGTTAGAAATTAAGTATTTGAGACTGCTAGATAATGGGATTACTGATATGAAAGATTCCAAAGGTGTCTAGGGTAATGTTCCCCCAAGAATATAAACCAATATGAATGAAGCCATCGGACTGCTAGAAGCCAGCAACTAACTGAACTTAAATCATACAACAACGGTGTTGTGCTCTGTCCGTAAGGGACTTGTTTTTTGCGAAGGCATCTGAACTTCCCCCACCCCGTCTCTGCCGTCAGGTCGCCATGAAGATTCTGAACGGCGGTCGTTTCAGCATGGGCAGTGCCTCGGCTGGAATGCTCAAGAAGCTCATAGGCAAGTTTTGCTCGTTCGCTCGCTGTCCCGCTCTAGATTGGCAGTCCCGAACCGGTTCGAATGTCACCCGCCACTGATGCTAGCCGTGGCTAGGAATGAGACTCAGGTCGCCGAGTTAGCGGCTCACTGCTCTGTGCTTGCCGTGGGAAATAAAGGTGAAGCCTTGTTATAGATGACAACCTGTTGCTATTCAGCTATGCGAGATGTTTAGGGTGGTAGGGGTGATGCGTTTTAATCACGGTTTGCGGTAGCACAGGCCCAAAATCCCAAACAGCACCGTCACATTTGTAATATATAGGAGTTAACATGTATATTGCATTGAGTAAGGTTATGATGAGAGCTTGGGGGAAAAGATACCATTGGACAGAATTTCAAAAGGGAGCAATACAAGGGAAGAATCGAGAAGAGAAGTGTTGAGACCTGCGATGAGTGAGTGAGAGTGTTGTTGAGGCCTGCAGTGAGTGAGAGTGTTGTTGAGACCTGCAGTGAGTGAGAGTATTGTTGTGACCTGCAAGTGTGGTGGTTGAACACAACATTCCTTAACCTTCGAGGTCAAGACTCCCGAGACACTTAACAAATCTTAAAATCTCGACTAAAAACGTACCTGTTGAAAATGGCTTTCTCTCTTTAGTCATTTTCAAACGTTTTTCTCACTTCATCTTTCATTGGTTGATGTTAACTATTTTCTGCCTTGCCATGCATAGCACCCTGAGAACGATTGTCTAAGGGCGCTTTATAAATTTAAATTATTATGATTATGACATTATAGATGAGATGAAACAGTCTGGTAAACAGAGTCTTCAACATGGGTGGAGGAATCGGTTGAGTGAAGTTCACGGTAGCAGCAGTAGCCATAGACGGATGGTATGGAGGCGACTGACCACCGGTGAGCAGGCGAGTGCTGGATCATCGTTCATCCTGACTACGTTACGTTGAATTCTGTCAGGTGCAGCCAGGTAGGAACTGGGTGCTCCACTCCAGATATGACAACAGCAGGATTTCAACTTCGGCTGAAGTTGTGCTTCATATCGGAGTAATAAGTGTTCAGAGTTAAGTGTTAGAACCAAGTAAGTCATGCTGTAACCTTTAGTGGACCGTCCTCAGAAGCAGCGATATAGTCGTTCATTCGGTGGCTCAGTCGTTGGTCGGTCTGAGGGCTGTTTAGTCCATCGGTTTGGTCAGTATCCGATGGTCTTTCGGTACCCGATGGTCAGTCACTCCGATAGTTGCCTGGGCTTCCCTCTGACGCTTATCCCGTTCCTCCCCATCAGCAATGTGCGCGGAGTACGCGTGCACCAGGAAGCAGTTCAACAAGCGGCTGAGCGACTTTGGGATGATTCAGGTGAGAACGGAATGGCCACTCCACTGTATCAAGTATCTCAGCTGGGACTCGCGTTTCCCTCGTGTGGGTTTTAAAACCCCACCTTTTGGTCTGCAGACCGAACGGGCGCCACTGCCATGTGCCGTGATTGCAGTGCTCAGCGGCAGACGTTTTCATATCAGCCGTTCATTCAGTTACCCTTAAGATTAACATGAGAGTGCACGCATATTGGAGAATTGTGTGTTGAACTTGTTTCGCATCTTATATAACCAACAGCGCTAATCGGAGGTGTGGGGGAAGGACAACACACTAAATATAAAACGTAGAATTGAGAAGCCTGCATGGGTTTAAGTGACCAGGTAACCACAGGAGCCATAGGGTTCGGGTAGCCAGACTGATAGAGAGTGGAGGGTACTCACAATGCGTCCTGGTTGAACCTTCCAGAACTTTCATAACTTCAACTCTGCCCTGCCCGTGCCGTGCTTCCTTGCAGGAGAAGTTTGTGAACATGACGGTGAAGGCGTACGTGATGGAGAGCATGGCGTACCTGACGGCAGGCATGATGGACCGGCCGGGAGAGCTGGACTGCTCTGTGGAGGCTGCCATGGTCAAGGTTGTTATTATTATTATGATGATGATTGTTCACCCAGTAAAGCCTCACCGAGTCTAATGACTTTTTCAGGAGAGTTTTGCTAAGTTTCCACAATAGGCGGTGATGATTGCCACGCACATTCAAATTAAAATGTGCGGGTAATCTTTCAAAGGTGGCAAAGTTGGACCATGATGCCGGCACGCAATGGGCTACTCTTGTGAGTCACGTCACGGGATCTTCAGGTTGTGCACAGAATTAATAAACGTTACTGCATTGCTTTGTTGAAGTATTATTCCCAAGGGGCTCTCGTTTGGCTTTAAATAAAACGAATGTAGGAATCATGGCCTCGATCATGTTGGCCAATGCCTTGCAATCTCGTTCATGCAGAGTTACAATACAACACGGATTTATTTTGCGTCTAACGTGACCGCATCGCAAGTCGCTGTACAGGAACAGTGGGCATATTTCATTTGTCGGTCACGTGCGGAGACAATAAGTCTTGAACCTGCACTCGCGCTGGGGCAGGCAGTCGACAGCACAGTGGGCTGGAGAGGGGAGCTCCAGGCTATGAGGACGGCAAAATAACACCGAGTGACCTCCCACTGGGCAAATATTAAGTATTGGGGGCTTTTTATAGACATATACAACCTTGTTTGTTGGTGCAGAGAGTGTGTGGAGTGGAGTGAGGCGAGAGGTAGGAGAGCAGGAGTAGAGTGAGATGAGAAGGGGGAGGTTGCAGAGTGCGTGGGGTGGAGTTAGTTGAGAGGGGAGAGGTAGGAGAGCACATGGAGGGGAGTGTGGAGTGAGATGAGAGGGAATAGATCGGAGAGTGTGTGGAGTGGAGTGAGAGGGGAGAGGTAGGAGAGCACATGGAGGGGAGAGTAGAGTGAGATGAGAGGGAATAGGTCGGAGAGTGTGTGGAGTGAGAGGGGAGAGGTAGGAGAGCACATGGAGGGGAGTAGAGTGAGATGAGAGGGAATAGGTCGGAGAGTGTGTGGAGTGGAGTGAGAGGGGAGAGGTAGGAGAGCACATGGAGGGGAGTAGAGTGAGATGAGAGGAGAGAAGGTCGGCTAGGGCGAGCCCTTGGAGGACTTTGAAGACGGTGACTGCAATTTTTAAATTGATCCAGGATTGTATTGGGAAAGAGCGGAGCGATTGGCTTAGAGGGATAATGCAGTCTTGCAATATGTGGGTGCGGAGTCCGGGTCGCGGTGAAATCACAACGCGGCGCGTCTCCTCCTGTGACGCCAGGTGTTCAGCTCGGAGTGCGCGTGGGAGTGCGTGAGCGAGGCGCTGCAGATCCTGGGAGGCCTCGGCTACACCAAGGACTACCCGTACGAGCGCTACCTGCGCGACGCACGCATCCTCCTCATATTTGAGGTCAGGCCAGACGCGCCGGTCATATTTCTCCGTCTGTTTAGTTGATCTGCTGCTGCACTGTGTGCTTGCTTGCTTTCTTCATGCCGATATTTTCCCCACCGGTCAGGGTGGGGAGCTGTATTTCTCGTCCTCCTCCACTCATTTCTGTCCTGGGCCATCATCTCCACGTCCACTCCGCAGTGCTCCATACCATCTCGTTGTAGGCCGGACCCATCGTCACCTCTCTCCGCCCGATGTGCATTTCCTCTTCATCAAGCGACATGGCCTCGCCATTGATTTTCTTTAAGCTTTTCCGAGATGGGTACCACACTTGCATCCCTGGCTCTTCAATTTATGACCCATTCCAGCCGAGCGATCGTTGTCTTTGTACTAAACATTCAGAGTACATCTCTGTCAACCCCATATCAGTGCCTACCTTATTACAGACCGAATTAGACCTTACTGGTCACCCATGCCCTCATAAATCTCAACGTTCATCCTACAAAGTCCCATCACAAGGGAGAAACACAAACAAATCGACAATAATTTTTTTGTTTCCCGTATTGAAGCGACTGTATGCCTTATGGACCTGAAAACTACATTTCCCTGTAAAAGAATACGGGTAAACCGTATGGGTTGACGGGTATGAGAGTATAGCAATAATGGCATTTATTTTCCTATAAAATCCTCAATGACTTGTCATGCTGTTCATCAGTAGTGTTTTGCGTTGAGAACTAATTGTACCTGGAGAAAACCCATGCAGAGCACTCAAAAGTCCACACAGATGGGTTCATGAGCCCACTTGCTGGTAAATTTGGAGCCCAGCGGGTTTTGGGAGTTTCACGAACCTCTGTGCGATCCACCATCCCCCTGCACCCCAAAGCACTGAACCACCACCACCCACCCACGAACCCACCCACGAACCCACCCACGAACCCACGATTTGTTTGTCCCAAATCAACAGGGCACCAATGAAGTTCTGCGGATGTTCACTGCTCTGTCGGGCATTCAGTACGCGGGAAAGATCATGACGGACAAAGTCAAGTGAGTGTGAACGTTTAACTTGAGTGCAACGGCAATCGACTTTGAACTCTGCATCATCGCCAGCTATCGTGTACACAACCGCATTTGGCAAATTTCGGGCTATGGCCTATTCTGGGTCCTCTTTATGTCCTCCCTGTGTGTTAACTTGAAGATTTTCCTTCGACTGCATCTTCACATGAGGTTACGAATACATTGCAAGCTCACCACAGACCAGGTTTAAAATAAAACTCGCAACAACCACTCCGACTATCCCCTTCATATTTGTTCATCTTTCATGCATTAAAATCAAAGTTTCTCCACTTATACTAGTTATGTGCAAATAGGCAGGTGGTGCAGTGGTTAGTGTACTGCGCTATGAAACCCAGCCGCATGAGTTAAATTCCCTGCCGTGTTCTTGGTTCTTTTGGTAAAGTCACGTAAGAACCAAGAATATGAATCCCTGCAGTCACGAAATATTTAAAACGAAATTTTCCTGCCGTGGTTTACTTCACTGGCAAGTGATATCCGAACCAATCCCGAGTCTCTCCCTTCACCAAATCGCACTGACCCAACGCTGTGAAGTACGGTCAAACAACCTCCACATTTGACCAACGTAACGTGGGGAGGCATTCATCTAACAGTCCATTAACAAAAGCCTAGGAATTATGGAAATTAACGTATTGACGGTACACCAGTCGTGCGTGGTATAAAGAAAGCCATTTTTTTTGCAATAATTATTTATTTTCCTGTAATTCGCAACCCCGGTCAGAAAATCTTTCGGAGTGGTGGTGCATCAAAAATCAGTTCTCGTGATGTCAAAGCAGTTGGAAGACTAATGTTAGTTCAAATATTGATTTTAGATGGTGTTTATGAGGACCGGTGTGTTACGCTGCACCGGTGTACTGCCAATACGTCCAAATGCTTTTGGTACATTCAGGATAATGTGTCGTGAGCTTAAATATGTACAGTCACTGATGAATCGATGCATTGTTCCACCTCTCGACAAACAGTACTTTGCAAATATTGGCTCTGCAGTCTTCATGCTTTTTACGATTTTCATGATAAGTGGAGTGCATGCGTGTGTGACTGCGGCAGTGTGGGGAGTGGTAGTGTAGCCATTCGTGCGCTGCGCTATGAATTGAATGGCCAGAGTTAGATTCCTGCTTACAGCCAACACCAGCCTCAAATGAGTACCTGATGCGGCATGTATACATCAACCACTAGGGAGACAAAGGCGGCCGGGCATGGTGCTGGCCAACCACCCCCTTGTGTGCCCTGCCAGCGTTTTCACTACCAGCCCCAACAGTCTGTTAAGGCTATACGGGGGGGGGGGGGGGGGGGGATCTTTGTGTATTTTTAATGTGTGTGACTGCACGTGTTGACGTTCACGACCAGGGCAATGAAGAAAGGAGACCTGTCTGCATTCGGCAGCATCCTGAAACGCAAATTCGAGGTCATGTTCTCCAGGAAAGTCGACCTGGGGCTCACAGGAAAAGACTGGGTCGTCCACCCATCCCTGCAGGTCTCTACAGAGGACACACACTCGCGCGCTCAGCCTTGCACGGTGACGCGGCTCAGCGGTCCCGCGTTTCCCCGCTTGTTGCAGAGGTTCGCGGTCCGAATATGACTGCGGGGATAAAAATCCGAGTAATACTTCGCGCCATCTGCTCCGCAGTGGACGTTAAAGACCTCCCTGATGTAGTTTGCAAGATCAGGCCATCGTGTGCCGGCACCAGGGTCTAAATTTTACAATCTTGAAAATGACGCACACATTACTCAATTGGGATTGTACACGAAGCAGCAATCATTTCCCCCTGCTGACAGGCGAATGCCCCAAGTCGGTCTTGCCAATGAGAATCATCCTGGTCTTCGAGGTCTCGCCTGGTGAAGCAAGATAAACCTGAAACTCCTCCCATGAGCACACAATCGCCTTACACCACGACCAACTTTACAATTTTCTCTCTTTAATCTTTCAATTTTGAAAGAGATACACTTTGTGGCATTTTAGCACTTTTTTTTACTCCATTAATTATTACCTTAGGAAACTGTCGATGCGTTAATGGGCTATAGTGTCAGGCTAGGCGGCAGGCGAATTACTTGGGGTTGGGTATTCGTAAGTGTTCATCATGAGATACAACCATGTAGGTTGATCGTTAAACAAATCAATCTCTAGGCTGTACATATGAAGGGTCGTATAAACAAAGCATAACCTTGGGCGTCATCACCATACTCATTTGGCTTTTTTGTAAATAATTGGCATAAACTGCACGCGTGCGTTCCAAAAAAATTCGAAGATCTGTAATACATTGCTAGAATTTAACAAATCACTGTTGCCGTTAAAAAATATAGAAGAGGGCGCCTTCCATCGCGGACTCCGTAGGTCGGCAATCGTTTATCTGTTTGGTTGTCTCCATGTTCTCGTTAACGGCGCCCGTCGTCTTGGCTCCGGCAGGACAGCGCGCGGATGCTGGAGGAGAACGTGTACGGCTTCGGCTGCATCGTGGAGACGCTGCTTTTCCGCTTCGGCAAGGTGCGTGCCCCCCCCCCCCCGCCACCGCCACCCCCACCCCGAGTCCTGGCACCGGGCGTAGCAATCGCCGCTCCCCCGGTCCCTGGATCTCGCGTCACGCGCCACACCCACCACAGTCAAAATCTCGTCCATCGGACGAACGCGCAACGTCCCGTCAGATCGATGTTGCTCCTCACATTAATTGCAAAGATGTCAAAGATGTGGCCCTGCAATTGTTTGCTCACACCCACCGATTTAATTACGTGCGGCCAAAACCCACGTTCAACAAAACCCAAGATCTTGGCGGTGCCAGCTTAGCGCTGTGACCTCCGAGCGACCCGGCTGCTTCATAGGTGCTCGCTAACAGCACTTGCCCCTACAGTTTGTTAAGGCTATACGGGGGATCATTGTCTTTATTCTTCTTTGTCCCGAGTGTGCCTCGTCCATCTCAGCGGCACGCTCATTGTTTACCGAGCGTCCCATGTGTGCGCGCGCGTCGTCCGTATCTACGACACAGACGATCGTGGATGAGCAGATGGTGCTGAAGCGTGTGGCGGATGTGGCGATGAACGCGTACGCAATGACGGCGGTGTTATCTCGCGCCTCGCGCTCCATCTCAATAGGACTCCGCAACCACGACCACGAGGTGGGTCCCGCAATCGAACTGTCAACGTGCAGGCTGGAGTATGGAACGTGACCACGGCCGTAGCGAGAACTATACTGGGTGTGGCGCGACTGGAGTAGGTGGCACGAGACGAGTAGCCATAGCCACAGCGAGAGGTCTACTGGATGCGGTGTGCCGGGTGCGAAGAGCCCTAGGTTGATCTTGCATCTCCTTCAGAGCTGCAAACTAATGGCTAATGGCAAGTTTCACAGAGGCCCAAGTGGCCAGTTGCATAAAGAATACTCAAAAACAGTTGTTGTGACTGTAAAACTTGTGTTACTTCAAATTATAAACGAGGGGGGGGGGGGAGTGTTTTTATGCCATCACCATTCAACTGACGTACTACAGATCCTTACATCAGAGCAGTCGGTTAACATTGCTAACTTCATTTTCGCTGTCTCAGTAGCTGATCACAGACCTGGAGAGACCTGTAGCTCAAAGCGGCCAGCAACAGACAGCAACTAGTGACAGCTTGGCCAAGAGACTGGACATTTTTAGCACGTATGCTTGATTAACCCTGACTAACCATGTCGGTAGCATCTATAATTTCGTACTGACACAGTCCATTATAATTTATATGAATACACTAACCCCCTCCCCCCCCGAGTCTTTCACACTTGCAGGTGAACAGTGATAATGTCACCTTACCCTATTTTAAGACGAAAAACAGGAAGGCATCTTCACAATTTTGGCAATCACCCGATGATGCTGGTTGTAATCGCTAGCAAAACGTCCAACTGAAATTGTAAATGTTGTGGTTTACCTCTCTAGCACACCGGTGTGCTGAAGTAGTAACACGTTGGCACGTTTTGCTCAAGTGACAATCGTTACTGTTTGGCCGAGTCGGGTGGAGGTGGGCTTACGACACATTTACGCGACCTCTAACCTAAAAAAACTGGAGAACTGGACCCTGCTTTTTCCCTCCCGCAGGTGCTGCTGGTCAACACGTTCTGCACGGAAGCCTACTTCAAGAACACCTTTCTACTCACGCAGCTTTCCAAAGGCAGGTGGTCCATGTCCATGTCCAATAACACCGTTCGTATGTGTGTGTGTGTATGTATGTTGAACGTGGGGAGGGGTAGGGTAGTGGTTCGCGCACTGCGCTACGAACCCAGCGTCCCGAGTTCGACTTGGTGACGAATATCTGAACCGGTCCTGGGCCTCCCCTAGGTAGACTCAGCCTCAAATTAGTACCTGTTGCGGTGTGTAAACATCGTCACTAGAGAGACAAAGGCGGCCGGGCGTGGTGCTGGCCACCCACCCCCTCGTGTGCCGTTCCGGCCTTCATAGGTGCTCACTAACAGCACTTGCCCCGGCAGTCTGTTAAGGCTACACGGGGGATCTTTATCTTTGGCTTAGTATGCAATATGTGGAATCGCTTCCATCGTCGGTGTCAATCCTACAGAGGCCGAATTGAACATGGACGCCAACTACAAGAAGATCGCCGAGCAGGTGCTCACTCCGCGCCGCTACATCTGCTCGCATCCGCTGGAGCGGACCTTCTGAGGGCCACCGCAACACTCGTCCACTCCCGCCGTACCTAGGGGCCCTGAATGCAACGTCTATGCCTCGTTTCCACAAGACATGCAGCTGGGGTCAACTCGAGTCTGGCCTGATCTTCCCCAGAACCCCAGCTGTGATTTTTCGAGTCACTTGAGATATCAGGTTATTCCAAGACATACTTGAGAGTCAAACGGTCAAGATGAGGTTGCTGGCAAAATTAAATGTTAATTGGTAAGTGTGAAATGAAATGTGAAATTTAACGGCCCTGCCGACTACAACAGCTGTGATTCACATGGTTGGTTGGGTGATGAATTTCCTGACTTTGGGGTAGGGAAAGTCGTGCCAACCTGGGATGCAAGGATGGCCTGGAAAATTCTGGCCTCGGCCCATATTGGCTGCCAATTTGAGTTAAAAAAAAATATAATAGAAAAGTGTTTCTGGGGCGGCAAATTCGAGTTGAGTGTTCCGTGGAATCTTCCGTGGAAACTAGAACGTGGACTCATGGCACGAGCCTCTTGAACTAAACGTCCTCATGATGGGCACAACCACTTTCTGGGTGTTGGGCTTGAGAATGCGTTCCATTTCATTAACGTGCCTCTAACAAGCGTTGTGCTGTATAAATGGCCTTGTGCTGGAAGCAGGAGTGCATGTTAACCCAAGGGCGAGCGTGAAGAATCTATGGCCAAACAGGCCAAATGGGGCCCGTGAGTTAATTTTATACGGCCCACATCTAAATGAGGCCTACAACTTCGAAAAAGGCATGCCAACGATACTCATCCATAACTGCAAGCATCTTGGCCATACTAAGCGCGTAGTACGAGTAGTAGGAGGGAATATTTTCTGTCTGGGAACACTGTAGTTCAGTGCACAGTCAATGCAAAGAAGTCCTGATCGTCATCAAAGTATATTGGACGACTAATTTGTGGCCTGCCAAAAGGCATTTGAAAGTCCTTCAATACGTTAAAGGCTCCCTGCCTCGGGCTGACCATTGGAGAGCCAAGCGTGGTAGGGGGATCGTCCAGCAGGGATGCGTCTGACCCTCAGGCCGAGATCTCACTGGCCCGTGATACGGGCGCTCCTGGGCAACGCTTTGACGGCTGATATTTCACCCTCTGTCACTTGTTGGCCGGCACACGTGGAGTGTTCCTGTCTGCTGAAATGTTCACCGCCGTATTAAGAGCAATATTGCCTCAGGCTCACATTTCTCAAAGCGCTGTATGTATACATATCGAACCTGGATGATTGAAGGTGGCGTGTTATTTTGAAATCAATTTGAAGGTGTGATGTGGGATTGTTTTTGTTTGTTTGTGAGCCCGTAGTGTATGTTGTTTTAAGAATAAGGATCTTGGTAAATTAAACTAAAACTGAAATACAACAAAGTGACTGTGACGCCATCTCCATTGTCGTCACTCTTCACGTTTTGATTTTAAGAAGCTATCCACGTAAAACTGATTTTTGGGTTACATCGCAATAGTAAAATGTGTCATACACCCTCCTCCACCTCACACAGCCAATTAAAAAGTGCTATCATGTGTGGGCAGGTCACTTCTGAATAAGCTATATAGCTGAGCGAGCTTTACCTGGTAAAAAAAAAATAGTTGAAATAGTTTATAAAGTTGTCACGTGAACAAATGTGCCAATGTATTATTTCAACAGCACACCAGTTATGTTGGAGAGCAATCCGGAACATGTAACAATTGGGTAGTCGCACGTTTGCTGGTAGTTACACAACCAGCATCATCAGGCAGTTTTCAACATTTTTAAAATGTCCCCTGGTTTTCGGGCCTTAAATAGGGGGTGTGATGTCATCAACGTGCACCGACACTCGCAGGGAGTGACAGGAATTGATACTTAAAGGTTAAATGTATTCACAAAATATATTAGATTCTGATAAATTATGTTAAATCTGAATCTTTATCCTAGAGAAATACGAATTCAGAGATGCCCAGTCGGGGCAGATCAGAAAAATACAACAATAACAAAAATATATTAATATGATGGACATATTAGGTGGTGAAACGGGATTAGTCATGGTTAATTAGGTATAGTGACTGTACGAAATGGTTTGTAACGTTATAATAGTGTGTTTTTATTATTATACGTACACTTTTCTATTGAGTCTGTGAAGACATTATTTAACGATCTTTTTCCATGCCGCACTCGGCTCAGTTGAAATCATTTTTATTTCTCTCGGTTCAAAAGGTTATCCAATTAGCCTTGGACAAGAGTCATTTAGTTTTGCATAGAATATCACCGTTATTAAACTCGAGCGAGTGTCCTTGTTAACGGGCATGTTCTGGCAACTGCTTGACGATTGTGTGTTTGAGTATTTGATGCGTTTCTGGTGTTCTCTAACTCTTTTAAAGAACACCAAAGCAACATTGAAAACAAACACAATTGGCAGCAGTAGTGGAACAATGCCCTGCCCGCGACAACGACATTCGCTTGAACAATAATCAACGTTCGTGGCGTACGTCTGCACCTTGTTAAAGCCGCATTAGACAGATAGCCCGGGACATGGCTCCAGGACGTGTGCCACTTACACTTAAGATTAAATTTTTTTTTTAACCAGGTGAGAACACACGAGATCAGGATCGTCTCATTTGCAAGAGTGACCTGGGGTATTGGTCTGCCAGTAGGGGGTGATGATTGTTATGTTATGATCCCAATTGGATAATATGCGGTGTCAATTTTCGACACACAATGGCCTACTCTTCCAAATGACATTCAGGGGATCTTTAACGTCCGCTGTGGTGCAGATGGCACGTCGTGCTACTATGGTTATTACCCCCGCAGTAATACGTGGAGTTCGTTGGTTGAAATCACAGGCGCTTTGCCATCTTGCTCTCGTGACATTACCGCATTGATGTGTTTTACGGAATTCAGACGTCACAGAGCTACGTAAATGAAAACAAAACATGTTGGCGCAACCGCTGATGCGAGCGAATGTGGGAACACAAACCCGGACCCTGGTGCTAACGCTGGCCAGACCCGGGCCAGCGTCAGCTCCGCCCGACTTCTAGCGGTCGTAACAAAACGACGCGCAGTAACATCCCAGTCGCGCACGGGGGTGTCCACCGCCAAACAGCGAAGCGGAAATCCTCGCCGGGAGTTTGACCCCCCCGGGCGGGCCGGTCGCGTACCGTCACGCCACGTAGAGCTGGGCGTCGTCGCGGTGCGTGCGCGCCCGCACCACGCTCCCGTGCCGCTCGGCGGGCTGCTCCAGCGCGGCGGCCCGTGGCGACGTCCCGGCGTGTGGAGGCGCCGGTGCGAACAGGGGCCCCCCGCGCTCCTCCGGCTGCAGCGGCGCGACGTGCGGACGGTGCAGCAGCGCGCGCTCGCGGAGGAGGGTCCTGCGCAGACGGGCGATTGCGCTCCATAAATAACGTCAGACCCCCCCCCCCCCCTCAAATATGACGTCACAAAGCTCTGCCCCCCCACCCCCCCAAAAACCATATTTCCATTTTGAAAATAAAACATGCTTCAAATCGCTTTAAACTATTGTCATTGTCGTGCGTATTTAATGTGGCGCTGCACTCTTATGTTGTAGGATAAAACATTTATTAAAATGTCTATTTAAGTAGAACGTGTTGTCTATATTTAAAGTTGCGCATTTTGATGTGACGTCACATTTCTCAAACCCCCCCTCGTCACACATCGTCACAACTGTCTGACTAGGTGCGTGACGTCATTTATGGACGGCCCCGAAGTGTGGAAGTGCAGCACGACTTTGATTTGACTGCAGTATCCCCTTGCCGCACACAACGCAGACCCACAAAAGCCTTGTAACGCCTGTCACGCGTCGCGAGTGGCCCGTCCATGCGCGATGCAGGCTCAGTGCTGCTTAGCCTCCGAGTTGTGCCGAGAGAAAGTTTGCCTTCTGGGTGATTGTGGATCGTCTCATTGTGAATCTGCGCAAAATCAACGAGCCCACGGTGTGTGTGTGTTGCGTATCGGCGTCTGCAGTATTCCTTGATGGGAAGTAAATCAGAAACATGGAAACGAAAATGGAAAAGTGCGCAAGAGACGCGTGGCAAATGCAAGGACCGCGGCGACGATTAGCAACGGGGTGCACACGAGCAGGTGCGTGACGATGCATCGATTCGTCGATTAACCTCCAGTCTTTCACGCTCGTACTGCACACACGTGGAATTGCGCGAGCCACTTCCTAGGAATGTTGCCGCGCGTGCCGTGGTGTCCACTCACGCGAAGGCGTTGGGGTCGCGCGGCTCGGCACCGCGAGCGCGGCTGTGTCGAGCGAGATGGTTCCCGGGCAGCGTCCACGCGCGATGCTCGTGCGGCCCCGGCATGAAGCCGCGACCTGTCTCGCGCTCCACCTCCTCCTCGCTCGTCTCCTCCCTGTCCTCCTCGTCCTCCCCTCCCGACGACGTCAAGGAGAGTTGCTCCAGGCTCGGGTGACGGACCACGGCCAGCGCGGGGATGGCCTGCGGGGTTTCGGAGAGTCGCGTTGGCTCACGATCATCATCGTCGTAGTCATCGTCATCGTCGTCGCACACACTTGGTTCATCACACGAAATTACTCCGTGCATACAAATCAATGATTCGTATTTTCTATTCACGAACTTCTAAAGTGATTGATAACGAAACAAATCATCAGCCATGCTCAATCTAATGCTGCTTGAAGATCTCCCCCCCCCCCCCCCAAGCCATCGCTAATCTCGAGGTGACGCGAAGCAACGACGCGTTCATCACCTGCACACGAGACGATGTGATCATCGGTAGTCGCGGCCAAGACGAATGACGGAGGGACAGACAAAGGAGTGAACCCCGCGAGCGTCACGGCCGCCACGGAGATCGAACGACGAAATGAGCTCGCGTGCACGAGCTCGACGGATTGTAGCATTGCAAGGACCGTGAGGGATAACGATGGCTTGCAGAGGCATTCATCCAGCAGTGGATCTATCACGGATGATCGTCCTTCCGTTACTTTCTAATTCCCTTGTCAATCCACTGCTGGACGGAGGCCTCCCCACCGCGCGTCGGTCATGGAGATTGACCGTATGTCACCAATCCAGCCCGTTTGGGTTGGTGATGGCACGACGTCCAGAACCGTTTCGGATGTCACTGTAGGCGTGTCCGGGAATCAAAGCTAGGGGTCACTGGATTCATAGCGCACTGCGCTAACTGCTGCGCCACCGCAGACAAGCGGGAACCACAGACAAGCGGGAAGGCAGCTGTGCGGTGAACCGGCACCAACAATTGCCCAAGCTCTGCAATCCTCAATATAGTAAGATGTTATTACATGTGGGAGGGAAACGGTGCAACTGGCGGAAGCCCACGTGTGCAAGGGGGAAACACTATCCCATACAACAGGTGGCGTTATGTTTATTTTTTTCTGAACTGCATTCTCCTGGCGAGCCAAGGAGTAGCGCCTTCTCGACGCCCACGGAAAGGGAGCGACACGTGTGCGACCCACCAAGCCTCGCCTCCACAGTGGCGGAGTACAGGCATGCGTGCGTGTAGCCACCAGGACGATGCTCGCCTTTTCTCCATTCGCCATTCCCTTCCTCTTCCCTCCCCTCGCCCCTCCACTCCGTCCCGTCCCTCCCCTGCCCTTCCGTGACCCCTTTGTGCCCTCCAATTACCGTCTCACTCTTTCCTCGGCCCTCGCACGCCCCTTGCCATCTAAATCAGTCTCTCTTTGTTACCGCTTTTTAAACTCTGTGAAGAACCCCTTGAGCGAACGCGCTCTATGATCATGACGTAAGATGACGATCGCCATGACCCCCGAGAGGCGGCGTCACCTGGAAGAGCATCCCCGGCTTGCGCAGCGAGAGCTTGTGCGGGGGGTCCTTGAGGAGGCCGGCGAGGCGCGCCAGCTGGTGGGACGCGAGGGGCCCCGAGGGGCGCTCCTCCGTCGCCGGCAGGAGGCGGTGGAAGCCCATGGGGGGCGGCGCCGGCGACATCGCGAGGAGAGGGCCGCGTACGCTCTGCTCCCACGCCCGGATCAGCTCCGCGGTGGTCGGCCCTAGGGTAATCACGCGGGGCACGAGGATGGGTCGAGACTGTTCCCGTGACAAACAGCGGGCGACCGATACGCTCCCCCCGCCCCGATCGCAGGTCATTGACGAATTCCAGGAGTACCTCTCCTGGGTTAGGCCACCACTTGAGCGGTTCTTCTCTCAAGCTTTCGCCACGCGCTACTGCGAGCATCTTAAAGCCATAAATACAGCAAACAAAAAGGCGCAAACCACGTTTCATCGCACACTACTTAGGCCATCTTCAGGAGTTTGAGCGATGGAGCCCACCCAGTAAACGTGCAACGTCGGGCCAACATTGGTCCGACGATTCCAACCACATGCCAACGTTGACCCAGGGTTGCATGTTTACTGGGCAGGGGGGGGGATCCCTCACTGCAGCTGCTGAAGATGCCCGCGGCAGTACGTGGCAAAAAGACAGCATTTGTGCTCAGCACGCAAAGCGGATCAACCTGGAACGCCACGCTCCGATTCCGGGCGTCCGCGATCACCCGCGTGGTGACGACGCCTCGGCACGCGCGATTCAATCGGCCACCGTCCCGGCGGGTTCCACAAACGGGCCTCCTCCGCACGTACCCTCCGCGTGGACCGACGCGGAGATGCGCGGGGGCGCAGGCGGGCGGCCGTACGGCTCCCAGTCGCTCCGGCGCAGCTCCCAGCTCCAGCGGTCGCGGCCGTGGAGAGGTGGGCGCAGCGTGCCACGGTGCAGCACGTTCTCCGTCCACGCCTGGTCCCCGCGATCAGAAGGAAAAACGATGAAGGCCTCCCGTGTAGTCTCAAACACGCTACTGCTGTTCTTAGCGAGCACCTCCGAAGGTCGGCATGGCACGACGCCTCAACTATTAAAACGATCGACTATTTTTTGTATTTACCGGGTAAGGCCCGCTGAGCTATGTAGCAAATTTTTTTTGAGAAACGGCCTGTCCTCGACGAAGTGGCTTA